AAAGGGCTGGCTCTGTTTTCTGGGGTGAGTGAGCACTCTGTCCTTTTCATCCTGGTCCTTTCACTTCCCAAAGACTTCACCCACTTCCCACCAAACCTCCACCTTCCCCTACTGTCACACTCGGGTTCAGAATGCTGTTGGCATCCTGTGCTGTAGCAGTAAGTACTTTCTGTAGCATTATACACTGAAAGGACTGTCCAAAGATAATCATGACTGTCTTACTGATTCCTTAAAAAACTGGACCTGAACCATCCCAGAGACATTACATTAACAGTTTTCACATCCTCTAAAAACTTCCAGACAAGAAGATTCCATAATTTCCTTGCCGGCATCTGTGCCTGGCAGTACTGCTGCAGGGATATTCTTTACTGCACCCTGCGGTTAAGACTTAACAACAAGTGCCTTTTCTTCAGAATCCTTCTGGGTCAGTTTTTCTTTATGTTCAGTACTGACAAAAAGAGATTTGGCCCAGATCATTGAGAGAGAGAAAGTAAAAGACAGACTGTGCGAGCTGGCAGAAGTCTGAAGTATCTTTGTACCTAAGAAAACATAAGGTGCCCCTGAAAGGGCCATGTCACTCCACCCTGTAGCCATTCCTGCATGTCCTTCCTCTCTCTAGAGGGTGAAAGGCATGGGAAACAAGCCAAAGAAAGGTGCTGGAGCCTTGGCAGTAACCCCTTGACAGCCGCTCTTGCCCCAGCATTTGAGCAGGAGCCAAGGGCCTCACAGGATGGGCTTGTACCACCCACTGGGGGCCACACATCTCCTGAGGAAGCGTATCCATTCCTGCCTGCTGTACCTGATGCTCCATAAGACTGAACCTCACAACAGTGATGCCACTTCCATGGCCAGCACCAGCCCGAAATGGGCTCCATGACTACAATTAAGGAAGTGTCCGCTGAGCCATCTTTAATCCTAATAAGCAGTGGAAGAATGGCCTTGCAATGCACGGCACACCAACCACCTTCTCTTCATCTCTCAGCACAAAACACTTACTCATTATGAATTAAATGGTCTGTTTTATTATGTAATGAAAGTACTAAGTACAATGGCTGACTCTCAAAATTTGCTGGCACACACAGGTGGTTGTGTTTTTCACAGGGGAGCAAACACTCAAGAGTCCTGTAAGTCCTAGGGACTATCTGTCATTCCATTTTAGAAAATAAAGCAAGACTATTTAATTATTCCTTGACTTCTAGAAGGAAGCTTCTATTTTTGTCTCCTCCCCTTTCAGTTCAGAGGCCATGCTGGGCACTGCGAGTGGCTCTATTTGCTGGCAATGGTGTTGCCAAGAAGGAGTCAGGATTTGGGGTAGAACTGTGTGACTGGACAGCCTCTGGAGACAAGAGCTGGGTTTGGCCTAAATTGACCGAGAAGGGGAGCTGGGTGGGCTGTGGGGTGGTGGCACAGGAGCGGCAGACAGCTTGCATTTGGAAGTTTCATGGTCCATTCAGACTTGGCCATGCTCTTTTCCCCTGAGAGGCAAGCAGGTGGCTGGCAGGGGAGTGCAGAGGTGGGTCAAGTGTGAACAAGGGTGGGACAGGCCAGAAGTTGATTTAAATTCAGTGACAGGATTATGATGAGGTTTAAAGATTTCCAAGGAGCCAATCTAATGCTTTTTCTTACATCATAGGAACCAAATGCCAGTTAGTTCTAGGCAGCAACTTTCCAAACCAGTGTTTGGGGTGTTTGCTTATTTACCACTTAATTTAAATTCTGTGAAGTCATTCACTGAACTAAGTGTGGCAATTACCATTGAACCTGCAAGGATATTTCAGTGTGCACACAGCAAGCAGAGGAAAACAATGCCCAGTGTATAGGCCCACAGGCAGGCGCTGGGGGTGGGTTTTCAAAAGAGGCCTCAGAAACCATTAGAGACTCACAGAGGAAAATGCCACTGGGGCTCACACGCACATCCCATCAGCAAGATACACAGAGCTAGCTGCATTCCCGACAACATGAATTCATGGTTCATCAGGGGAAGAAGTACTGAGTTACATGTGAAGATTTCAGGTACAGGAGCAAGCAGATGTTTTTAATGGTTTGGAGGATGTAGATGATGTATGAACAACAATCATCTTACAGGGCTAGGAAGAAAGAAAATCAACATAGACAGTCTCACTTAACTAGAATATAATCAAAAAGGTCAAACAGTAGTACCCAATACCACAGAAATAAGTAAGTATCCGGGCTTTGATCTAAGAAGAAAGTTTAAGGTTATGTCATATACATTTATATCCTGGTTTCCTTTACATTTTACTGTCTTGGTATCATATTTTGATAATTCAAGGACTTCAGAATTTTAGAGGTTTTTATAAGTAAAGACTGGGGCTCAGAGAGATTAAGTGACTAGACTGGAATCCCAGTGCTAATTGGGGACAGGTCTGGATTTAGGGAATACGGTCCAGGGATTCGCAAGATGGGGCCAACAGAGAGACTAAATTACATGAAGCATAATTTTCATTTGTAAATATATTTTAATTTAGCCTAATTTTCTGGAAAACCAATAAAAAGATATAGAAGTGAAATGGTTTTCAAACAGGTAACAGATAATAAATTAACTGTAAGCCCTACCCGCTTCCCTAAGACCATTTTGGACAATTGGAAGTTTTCCAAATATTTCCAGAGAATTCTAGACTTGCAGTAAATAAGAAAGGCATTTTTGCTGCCCATCTAGAGAAGAAAGGGACTTATGTTTGACAAATGCCTACCTAGGGACAGGCACTGTGCTGAGAATTTTTATAGTTATCATCTCAGCTAATCCTCATGGCAACCTGACTGTGACTAACCCCATTACTGCAGGGGAGGAAAATCCAGCTCAGGATCCCCCGGTCACACCACAGCTGCCATTCCTGGGCCTTCCCATGTTACTCAGTATATAATATTCCGCTCCTTACCCCAGCCCCAGTTACATCATCTTCAACTGATTTGTACTTTTGCCTCTAGTACTGGGATCTTTTAGCTATCTACTTACTACTAGTATGAGAAGTAGTAATGGAGAATTTTATAGTGAGTAGTACATAAAAAGGACATTAATGTGAAAATGCTGAAGGCTTATGCAGTCCTCATGGTTATCAGTTGGCCACTCTCCTGCTGTGCAGGATAACAGCAGATGTTGCTGAACAAGGGACTAGAATGTGGTGACCCCTACACCCCTTTTATCTTGTTTGCCTATTTATTTTTATGCTGAATTCGGATGACTTTTGGTGGAGTAGGTGCTTGTCCCATCACCTGACTTATCCACAATCTATTTTACTCATTTATATCATCTGCCAGGCCTCTGAAGGCATCTGGGCTTGTGATCCCTGGGATTTAATACTGGGTGCAATCATTAGCACCTACATCTTGATGATGGAGTCTTTGGTTTCTCCTAAGTTCGCTGTGTGGAGCTGCTCAGTAGAACACTGCACAACTCTAGGGCTCTATTAACAAAGACTATGGATGGG